GAATCGTTTCATTGTAAATTGGAACGCGTTTGTTAAGCTGGAAGAAAATGAAAACATTAATATATGCATATTTGCGGTTCATTTAACCTACATAATGTGTTTTAAACTGATAACAAGTTGGTAAAATTTATAGTATATCACAACATATGAAATACCTTTGGGACTCATTGATACCCCGGTGTAGCCATCTGATGGGCTTCACTTGCATCAGATCCTCTGATCTCCAAGTAGGCTTCTATAATCAATAATTTTGTATAACAGATGAAAACCAACATACTGATGCCAGTTCGTGATGAGCTACTGACAATTCCCTGTCGCCGGAGATAGCAGGGTGGATATCTTGGCTTAGAAAAAGCAAGCATTTAGAGGCAAGCCCTTACACACCCCGCCTGACAGGCCTGGACAAAATCACGTGTTAGATCCAGATGTATTGCAGTGGCACGACGCTATTCTCTCTCTCTGACTCTGACGCACGCACGCACGCACGCACGCACGCACGCACGCACACACACCCAGATTTATTTGTTTTGTTAGGAAAATAGTTACATTTATTTCAGAAATTATTTCAGAGAATTAATTATTAAGAAGAATCTTCTAGAAAAAGGGTAGAAGACCCACAGTGAAGAAACTCTTCATGACGCCAGAAGATCGCAAAGAGTCAGAAAAGCCCACCAAAATGACAATAACACAATTGGTGGAAATCATTCAGGAGAAACTTAAATGCATTCCGGTTTGTTTTAAGGGTTATACAGACGTATTAAAATGTGGCAATATTCAGTAAAATATTTTTTTCAAATTCAATATTTGTAGTTATGTACTATGATATATGCTCTTTGAAAACCCATGAAATCAAATCATTATATAGAACCTTCATTTACAGAGTACCGATGTGATCCACTTCCTTACGAAAATTGACCATAATATGGAGGAGGAGGAGGAGGAGGAGGAGGAGGGCCTTCGTTAAGGTCTGTAATCTTTACAGGATCCGAAAAAAGGGTTGTATGCTGGACATTACCAACATTGTCTTTCTTCTTCTTCTTTTTTTTTTGGGCGGGGGGGGGGGGGGGGGGGGGGGGGTGAGTTCTGCCATTGCTTCCTCTTTGTGGGTTTTGTAACTTTAACATCCTGAAACAAATCTTACCAACATAACAATATTTTACACTTCTTTTCATAAATGACAACGGAATTTATTGGTAATACATACACATGTATATTCAACAGTTAAGTGTCCGTAAAAACATTATGATATAGCACAGAGACTATGAATTGCCTACACATATTGCCACTTTAAGCAATGCAGCGCGAACTATTTCAAAATGTGACCATTCATCACTGACCCGAAGGCCAGATTTGAGCGTTACCTGACTGCCTGGACTGCAGGTGGCGGGTCAGAGTAGGAAGCATGGTGGACGGAGAGAGTGGTTGACAAAGTACATTTCAGGTAATTTTTGACTTTCAATGTATTGTTTTTGACTGATTTAAAGCACAGAATGTGTCCAAATGGTGTCTTCGCGTTACGCCGACCTTTAGACATTTGGGGTCAAAATTAAGGTCGACAAAACGCGAATAGTTGCAGTTTGGTTGCTAACTGAGGATTAAAAGAACGATGGGATGAGCGCGTGTGATTTTAACTTTAAAAATCATAATAAATTTCAATTTTTTTTATCAGATGGACTTCGAAGTCGCTGCCAGGAATGCTGCCACATCGCGGTTACCTCGTGCCACATGAAAGGGATGCTTCTTCCACTTTGCCCAGTGTGTATGGCGGAAGACCCAACAGTGCAACATGCAGAAAGACTATACTGACAGACCAGAGATTACAAAGTTCGTCAAGCAGTGTGCAATAATGCCACTCATTCCTGTTGGCAATGTAAGTAGTAACCAGACCGTTAGATTAGACTCTATTAACTTGATATACGTAATATACATGTTAATGTGTAATATATTCAATATGCATGTTAATGTGTAAAACTGACAGGTTTACTTTTTTATCTTAAGGTTGAAGACTACTTCCTTGAGCTAATGGAGCGCGTTCCAGACGATCAAAGATGTCAAAGACTTGCAGACTACATGACCAGCAAGTGGATCGAGAGCGATCTCCACATCAATCATTGGAACCACTTCAACAATGATCGGCCACGCACAAACAACTACCTGGAGGGATGGCACAGTCGACCGAAGATCACGTGAAAGGCACATCAAAACATTTTCGAGATGATTACCTTCCTTTCCAAAGAGCAGAAGTCAACGGACATTCAGAGCGCAGTACGAAGCAGTACAGAAGAGACCTCCCAAGAAGAAGAAATACTCAGAAGTCGACCGCAACATCGCCAATTTGAAGATGAGGCTGGAGAGGCAAGAAATCGACATCATCCACTCTGCCGATGTTCCATCAGCCATTCTAATCAAGTTAAAAAAATGTTATAATTCATGTAAATCATGTTCTGTTCGTTGTACCAAATTGAAATGTGTCATGTCGCTGCTTTTGATACTATATAATGTGTGGAATAAACGACACAAAATGCATCATAAATCTGTTGTTTCTACTGTTAGAATGTGTCGTGAACACCATCCAAAAACACCATTCATTGCTTGCTTGTAACAACCTCGTGTGTTAACATAACACGCACACATCAAAGAAAAACCGCGTAACGCGAATAATCTTTTCTGAAAGTCGGCGTAACGCGAATGAACCGTCCAAATGGCGAAAAGGTACTCGGGTTCACAATAACCTGCGCAACAAACGGGGTAATGTTATAAGAATCGATGAATGAAAGAAGTTTTCATAATGTATTTTATACCCACCATCATGCGCCAAGTAGTACAGACAACGCACGGACAAAAAACGCATGTTTTTGTAGCCACACAGGACCAGTTTATTCTCAGTTGGGTTCATGGTCACCAGTTGGGTTCATGGTCACCAGTTGGGTTCATGGTTCATTGTCACCAGTTGGGTTCATGGTCACCAGTTGGGTTCATGGTCACCAGTTGGGTTCATTGTCACCAGTTGGGTTTATTGTCACCAGTTGGGGGTTTTCCCCGACCTGATAAATCAAGTTACTTCAGCCATTTGCTAAGATATTTAACATATGGCTAGAAATTAAGATGGTCTTTAAAACTTATTCCCAAGTATTTGGCTTCCCTTTTTTAATGTGAGTGCCCGATGGATGTAATTCTTGGTCACTATGTGGTTTATATTTTGGAAATGAATTTCAATGCATTCAATTAAGAAATGACCTTCACTTTGTGTGAGTTCATTGGAGTATGAACCTTCATAGAGTGAGGGCCAAACTGTATGAACTGTATGAACTGTATTATTAAAAGAAATATCACAATTTCTTACCTCAAAGGATGGAGGCCAAGATCTAAACACAATTTCATTTAGTACGTGTGACTTCATGTTTACACTGACAGCCATACAACAACCAGCTATATCGCGGAGTAAAATAGTTCCTCAAAAAGAGAGGTGACATGGGCGTATGGATGCACAACTTACTCTTCAGAAACATCTTACGCAGCACATGTGTTCAAATCATATCCTCATTAGATGAGAAAGGTCTGTAAAGAACTACCTCAGTAAGTCAGTCACAATGACAGTGCGTCGTAATAAATTTACATTAAGTAGCAGACGTCAAAATGGCTGACGCGATAAACGTGACGGGAGAGATTTCCTAAGTTGTTAATGAACCTGTGGCGGTTACATGTGTTAGTCATCATTGATCAACTGGCCGATCATTGAAAGGTGAATAAAGATGCGCCAAACAGACACAATGTCAGCCTAATCACGGATCGAGTCGATACTACGATAGTTTAGATATGCATTTCTTCGTTTGTTCATTAGGATGGGCCGTAGCGAGTATATTTGTGAACAATCATGCAGTCACGCTCTCTGACATTTCTCAATGTATAGTGAAACGCTGAGACCAAAAATAAAGGTTCTAATTGATCAGAAAGAACGGTTATGCATGTTTTCGAGCTAGGGAATTCCCAGGGGTTTCCCCAGGAATGTGGAAGTAGTTCGTCAGTGTTTACGTCATTTCAAGGACACGGTCTCGTGAAAAAGGTATGAACGTCAAACTGTGTCGTTCATACACTAATGAACGTCAATTTCGCGGTCATGTGACCGACCTCTCGTCCAATGGAAAAGCCGTATATCGTGTAAACTTCTAATTAAAAAATTATTGCAATAAGGTTTTGATTAATAAGACTTATAACCATCACGTTTTGATCGACCGTTCGTTTTATTAAGACAAAGCTGTAACTGTCCCTACATCGTGTACGTAGTTTTGCCTCAACATGATGCATTTAATAATCAACGAATAATGGCACACCAGGAGTCACTTAATGCTATATATAGACTGGTGAAAAATATCTAGCTATTGTCACAATCGACTAACGGGATCGGGTAGCTGACGTTGTTGTCGCATATCATCGATCACGATTGCATGGATCGATGCTTAGATGGGTTTCACCGAAGTAGTAAACGTCTAAGCCCTGCATCACTTCGACTTTCCTCCCACATTAATCTGTCACGCCGCGAAATAGCTGGAATATTGCTGTGTGCGGCGTTTAATAACAAACAAAACGATGACATGCATCAACAAACTCAGCGAGCCTGACCACCCGTTCCGTTAGTCGCGTCTTACGACAGCAAAGCCGCCATTTATGGCAGGCATTGGTTGCTGAAGACCTAATTCTACCAGATCTTCACGGGTCGGATATTGTCTCTACTGGCGTGTTCTGGTCTTGGTAACTTATTCATTTTAAATTTAAGTAAGTTCGGTTATCAGTCAGACAAATTGATATAAATCATGTTTTTCAACCAATCAGATTAAAGAACACAATCTTATTTTTAGTATTCCAGCCTTGAGTTTCACACAATGTACCAATGTGGGGAATCGAACTCCCAGAGCCACCTCTTCTCCCCAGAAGATTAAATGATTTAACAGAATCGTATAAACATTTAAAGTTTTATTTAAAATATCCAAAAAAGAAGAAGAAATGTTCAACATGGTATTTATTTTCTAAAAGTGTGCACTTAGTTTGTGAGTTTTACAAAACCATTTATGACTCATAGGATAAAAGCAATTATTGGGCGCTATAAGAATGATTTCAATCATGAATCTATAACTCGGGGGGCACGGATGCGCTGCGATTTGCTGTTCAGAGTTGCGTCCCCTGGGCACTGAATCTATAACTCAATATTTGACATTGATAACATAACTGAAAGAAGGTCATGTTCAGGTATTAGACACAAGTAACTCAATAACATTTTGTAATTTAGCTGAAGGGCACCAAAAACATTCTCTGAATATTTCTTTTTACTATTCAAAGCATTTTAAATATCATTGAACAGTAATACAAATCAGACAAGTATTTAAGGGAACGTTTCATGTTTTATATGAACCTCTGTGCATGAAACAAGGACAGTTGCGAAAACTGACATGGTAGGCAACTCCTATCACCTTCTTGCAACAAATAAAAATCAAACCCGAAAGCGGACATAAAATCCACGTTATTTGTATGGCGCTGTTCTCCATGCACAAGCATACTCTAAGCTTAGACATTGAAAAGTCTTCACTCAAAAATCATTCTCAGCTCAATGGAGAGTAGACAATCAAAAGTACCTGTAAGCCGCTAGAAGGTTAACAACCACATTGCCATCTCATCCTACCGGGTACCCGCTCACTGCTGGGTGGAAAGAGGCACAATTCGAACAAAGTCACTTGCCCAAGGAGACGCCACATGTGTTACACGTACTTCAGACTGTAATAGTAGTACTAAAGTTGGCTATTATTTACTCTTTATTCCATCCGTCCTTGTCCTCAGCTGTAATACTTCCACCTCTCTTGACCAGAAGTGCAGCTACAGATTCATGCCCATTCTGACAAGCTAGATGTAGTGCCGTCCATCCGTCCTTCTCCTCAGCTGTAACACTTGCACCACTCTTGATCAGAAGTGCGGCTACAGATTCATGTCCATTCTGACGAGCTTGATGTAATGCCGTCCTTCCGTCTTTGTGTTCAGCTGTAACACTTGCACCACTCTTGATCAGAAGTGCGGCTACAGATTCATGTCCATTCTGACAAGCTAGATGTAGTGCCGTCCATCCGTCCTTCTCCTCAGCTGTAACACTTGCACCACTCTTGATCAGAAGTGCGGCTACAGATTCATGTCCATTCTGACAAGCTTGATGTAATGCCGTCCTTCCGGCTTTGTGTTCAGCTGTAACACTTGCACCACTCTTGATCAGAAGTGCGGCTACAGATTCATGTCCATTCTGACAAGCTAGATGTAGTGCCGTCCATCCGTCCTTCTCCTCAGCTGTAACACTTGCACCACTCTTGATCAGAAGTGCGGCTACAGATTCATGTCCATTCTGACAAGCTTGATGTAATGCCGTCCTTCCGGCTTTGTGTTCAGCTGTAACACTTGCACCACTCTTGATCAGAAGTGCGGCTACAGATTCATGTCCATTCTGACAAGCTTGATGTAATGCCGTCCTTCCGTCTTTGTGTTCAGCTGTAACACTTGCACCATTCTTGATTAGAAGTGCGGCTACAGATTCATGTCTATTCTGACAAGCTAGATGTAGTGCCGTCACTCCATGTGTCGTTACTGCTGTAACACTTGCACCATCCTTGACCAGAAGTGCGGCTACAGATTCATGTCCGTTGTCACAAGCTAGATGTAGTGCCGTCCATCCGTCCTTGTCCTCAGCTGTAACACTTGCACCATTCTTGATCAGAAGTGCGGCTACAGATTCATGTCCATTCTGACAAGCTTGATGTAGTACCGTCACTCCATGTGTCGTTACTGCTGTAACACTTGCACCACCCTTGACAAGAAGTGCGGCTACAGATTCATGTCCGTTGTCACAAGCTAGATGTAGTGCCGTCCATCCGTCCTTGTCCTCAGCTGTAACACTTGCACCATTCTTGATCAGAAGTGCGGCTACAGATTCATGTCCGTACTGAGAAGCTAGATGTAATGCCGTCCTTCCGTCTTTGTCTTCAGCTGTAACGCTTGCACCATCCTTGACCAGAAGTGCGGCTACAGATTCATGTCCATTCTGGCAAACAAGATGTAATGCCGTCCATCCGTCTTTGTGTTCAGCTGTAACACTTGCACCATTCTTGATCAGAAGTGCGGCTACAGATTCATGTCCATTGTGACAAGCTACATATAGTGCCGTCCATCCGTCCTTTTCCTCAGCTGTAACACTTGCACCATTCTTGATCAGAAGTGCGGCTACAGATTCATGTCCATTCTTACAAGCTAGATGTAATGCCGTCCGTCTGTTCTTATTAACAGCTGTAATGCTTGCACCATTCTTGATCAGAAGTGCGGCTACAGATTCATGCCCATTGTCACAAGCTAGATGTAATGCCGTCCTTCCGTCCTTCTGTTCTGCTGTAACACTTGCACCATTCTTGATCAGAAGTGCGGCTACAGATTCATGTCCATTCCGACAAGCTCGATGTAATGCCGTCCGTCTGTTCTTATTAACAGTTGTAATGCTTGCACCATTCTTGATCAGAAGTGCGGCTACAGATTCATGTCCATACAAACAAGCTAGATGTAGTGCCGTCCATCCGTCCTTGTCCTCAGCTGTAATGCTTGCACCATCCTTGATCAGAAGTGCGGCTACAGATTCATGTCCATACAAACAAGCTAGATGTAGTGCCGTCCATCCGTCCTTGTCCTCAGCTGTTACACTTGCACCATTCTTGATCAGAAGTGCGGCTACAGAGTCATGCCCATTATCACAAGCTCGATGTAGTGCCGTCCGTCCGTCCTTTCTCTCAGCTGTAACACTTGCACCACTCTTGATCAGAAGTGAGGCTACAGCTTCATGTCCGTTAGCAGAAGCAAGAAAAAGAGCTGTTGTTCCATTTTCACTTTTGTCGTCAACATTTGCCTCGCTATTGATCAAAATGTGCGCTACATTCTCATGTCCATTTAAACAAGCAATGTGGAGTGGATATGTTCCTGCTAGATACATATACTCCGTACCCAAGACAGGATTGTACAATGTAAGTTGAGCTCTATTTTGTACGTCGCCCGTCCTCCTGGAAATCAGATCAGAGACAGCTTCAACGTGACCGTTTTCACAGGCACAGTGCAAAGGCGTCCATCCTCGGTCATCGGTACCTGCTACATCCTCCCCCTGGTCTATCAACAAGTGCATGCGTCTAATATCACCGAGGCCGGCTGCTTTATGCAAACTGTATCTCGTATCATCTATGCTGGTCGACATATTGACTATTGTATACGCAAACGCTCTGGCATTCGTTGACGCTGGATTATTTGTCAGCTTTTCACATTGAGACTCAAGCACTGCAAGAAGGACAACGATATTTCAAATACAGAACCAAACAGGTTAATTCATCATTTAGCAATATATTTGAAATAAACACACTTTTAATCATTATATCTTTTAACGCTTACAATGTTTAGTACTTGAATCCTTGAATCGACATTAAAGAGATTTTGGCTTTTGTACATGCTGTTTTCTTTGTAAATCTATGTATCAACAATAAACACCATTTGCCAACATATAAAATTCACATATATTGGATGATCCTCTATGACCGTTCATGAGCATGTGTTTTTTAATCCCTATCAAATATCAGGTGTCCACGAAAAGGCGAACATAGCCTGTCCTGCTGGTGATACACATCACAAACACATGCAAAGGCAATTCAATTGGTAATCTGCGAAACATGGTAACATATGGTACAAGTGAAAACACGGAATTTAGGAACATATTTTAATAGTTGTCTTCCTTTATCATAATCGACATACAACCCCTCTATTTTGTCAAATCGGGATTTGTTAAATGTCCTGTGATAGCAATATTAATATTAACTTTTTGCCCATTGCGAATATAGATGTCCGGACACTTTCCAGTTTGCCAGGCTTCACTCGTACTTGAATAACAAGAAATATTACAAACATTTCACAAAAACCTGTAACATGTACGATGTACCTGCTTTAATATTTCACTTCAACATTGGAAATAATACCAGTCGTTACTTCATCATTAATAGCATGTGAATAATAAGTGAGTGAGTGAATGACAATATTCTCTCAGCAATGTGTCAGCAACGATGGTTGACTGATATCTGAGACTCTGATAGAAGGAATTGCGCAAAAGTAATCAAAACAAGCAGAGGTCTGTGACCTTTGGAAAATGGACAAATTTTAGGAATGTGCAGTCAAGTGGAATTGCAGAAAAAAAGGATTTATATAACAACGCCAAAAGCCATCCATGAAGATATGAATACAGCACTAGGGAAGTATGTCCCTTCTTTGCCAACATAACGAGTTAGGCAGCAGAGTTTGAGTGTAACAGGGAGTGCCTTGAAGACGACCCCCGTCCTCGAAGGCCTGTGAAGTCAGCAACACCAGAACTGATCCCGAGAACCCACGTTGTGGTGATGACCGACCGGCGAATGACTCAGCGTAATATAGCTAATTCAGGAGCAGTGGATTCGCTACTGGTTTTTTAGTTTTTCGAATAGCTGGAAACAAGCCAGCAGCGGGTGTCAATCTAATAACTCACGTTAATGTCTCTAAGCATTTTAATGCAATTTGTCTAATATATAATTATTCAGTAGTATTGAACTACTTAAAAACCTAACCATCAACATGCTTGATATTCAGTTCAGCACAACACATGTAACAAATATTAGCTCCCATGTTTGCCTGTAAAAGGCGACTATGCTTGTAACGGGATCGGGTGGTCAGGCTCTCTGACTTGGTTAAGCATGTCAGCATATCCCGATTGCGTGAATCGATGATCATGATATCAATCACTGGATTGTCTGGTCCAGACTCGATTATTTACAGTCCGCCGTCATATAGCTGGAATATTGCTGGGGGCGTATTGAGTGGGGCGTTAAACAAACATTTTAACTGAACCGCTTTAGGAATTGTCCCTAACTTGCGTCTTACAGTACATAAACGTGGTACGACAATGCTAGATTTAACGGGAAACGAATAATAACAAAGTTTGCTGACATAAGAAGTACGCACAGTGGTACGTGGGTTTGGACATTCTAGTTTTGTTGTGGGATATATATTGCTATCGGCAGGATATGTTCACCTTGTCGTGAACATACTATTTGGTAGTGATTCATAAACACATGCCCATGATATGGTCGACTCTGATTGTGTACCATGAATATGGAATGGGTTTTGTCTTTTGTATGTATTTAGGTTTTGAGGTATATTTGGAAAACAATATTTATACTCACTATGTGTGTCAGTATCAGGCGGAATATGTTCACCAGCATATTCTCGCAACCTGCGCCAGATGTACTTCCTGTACCAGACAGTGTGGCAGCTTCTCATGACACTGGGAGGCACCTCCGACAGTACAGCTTCTGCTGCCTGTAACAATATAGAGCCACTGGTGACGAATAATTGACAAAAAAATAAAGCACTGTTCTTCAGTGTTTGACCCCTAAGGTGTCTATAGTGGCAGTATACGGTGTCATATTAGGTAAGGAGAAATATATTGGGCAAGGCGTGTTTCCGATACAACCCTCTAATGTAATCACAAACGTTAACAATGGAATAAATAATGATAAACAAGATAGAATTATAATAAAACTGACCTGTGTTAACAGGAGTCTGCTGTCAACTGTAACTTGATAGCAGTCCGCTTATCCCTAACAATGGACTTCTATCTGGTCTATTGCTATGTGACGTCATTGGCGTCGCGTTTTTTGTTCGTGACGTCATCTTTTATTATGTTCAATGACGTTGGTATTTGTAAATCAGTGTGTATTCGTAAATCAGTGACCTCTGTTGTGAGCCTTTTTCCTCTATAATTTTAGTAATAAAGTCACGAAAGTAGTTCTAAGAATTGATGTCTCTGCACATCACAATTAATTTTATTAATACACAAAACCGTGTCAAATAACGGATTTCTGTACCAGAATATTCTTGTGAAATATGTGAAGTGGGTGTATGAAAATCCAATATGGCTGTTACTGACGGTATACGGTCTCATATCAGGTCAGTGGGGTGGGGTAGCCCAGTGGTCAAAGCTTTCACTCATCACGCCGAAGATCCGGGTTCAATTCCCGGGTACAATGTTTGAAGCCCATTTCTGGGGTCCCCTGCCGCGCTATTGCTGGAACATTGCTAAAGGTGGCGTGAAACCAACCTCGCTCACTCACTCACTCAGAGCCTTTTTCCAACAGCATGACCCCGTTGAATATGAACGCAAAAAAGTCCAATCTCGATTTAGAGTGCCAGAATACATTGTACACATGGAAATATATTATATTTAAAAATAAAAGCCCACATTGTCATTTTGCTTTTGTTTTTAATACAAACGTACTGTATCCCAAAACTTGTTAGAACTATGGAAATTTAAGTAAACACATATCGTAGAAACTGATCAGTATATTAATACTGATTAAGATACTACTAGAAATATTCAGTTTTGATAATGACACATTTGAATGGCAAGTACCCAAGCATGCTCATGCGATTGACAATTGTAATATAGTTCCAATGCTGGGTGGAATTTCAGAAAATTTAGTGAAAAAAGAGTAAATGTGGAGAAATTCAGACTGTATATTGAATAGTAACGATTCATCATATTTGGTTGTGTATTGCTCTTATTATTGATATTATGCAATTATGAAAGAGAATTATATATCTTGTTCTCATCTAGTTTACGTACCATATTCACAAACACGCCACAGCTATGTCCATCTCTTTGACTCAGTACTGGATATTCTGTCTTTGTCCATGTGACCACTGACCCATCACCTCTCCTCAAACTGCGAGTATATTTTCTGAAATAGATATAGGATTTAGTTAACGAAATCTATTTGTTTCCGCTGCCTCAAACCCACCTACAACCTAGCGCTATACATTTAGGACTGATTAACTATACATGTTTGTAGCTGAGCCAGATTGCAGCTTTTGTTACAAAATCGGTAGCAGACTTTCATCAGTGTGTACCTCAGCTCTGGTCAGCGCAGTAGTCTTCATCAATTGTAGGCTGGGAGTTGACCACATCACCTGTTCGGCCAACCCACCTACAGTGTTGTTCATAGAGAATCTCACCCGAGTGTCTTTTAGAGTAAAACATATCAACGAGTGTTGATATATTTGACATCAAAAGACACAAGGGTGAGATTAAATTTATCACCCAACATCATTCTGCCAGCAGTTTCAGTTTGGAGCAGTTATAAGCAGTGTCTTAAGTGTAAAAAGTATTGCTAACAGCTTCAGTAGCAGTAATTAGTGATGTGACGTCATGGTAACAATGACGTCACTATGGATGCAAAACAGTGTGATGCACTAATGTTGCAGCAATTTCTACAGTATATATATATCACTTGATCTCACCCAAGTGATATCAGTTTTGGATGATAAAGGTTTATATCTACATATAGCTGGCCACGCCCTCAAATTACCTCCAATGTTGTATAAGTTTGTCCCCTACATCAAGGACAGGCTTAGAGTTGACCACGCCGACTGTTCCATCCTGGGCATTGGCGACCAGAAGCACCCAGTGTTGATTCAGTGGCATGTTCACTGGCATCAGGATCCACGTGTAAGTTCCAAGTTCCTCCTAATATACAATAAATCCGCAAAATCATTGCCATAATTAAAACAAACACCTTGAATGATACCGACTATATCACGAGCATGTGCTAATAAATCACTAGCAAATAGTGAAAATACCAGTTCGCAAAAAGGTGACCGTATTCTGTCCACCGGTGGCACCCGTCACAAACACATGCAAAGACAAGTCAACCGGTCGCCCGAGAAACACCGGGACATAATTATTGTACAAGTCAAAACATGGAATTGCATCGGGTTTGTCACTGATGCAAAACATTTTAATGTTTTTTAGACTAATGCCTAGTCTCCAAAACAGGAAAGAAGCACATGCATTTATATTTAAAAAAGGAGCTCCACTGAGATGGGGACAAGCTAGAATGTTCAAAGGGTTATGTCGCTTTAATTTACAGTAAAGGTTTTGGTGAAAAGGAAAATAATATTGTCTTGAATGTTTTACCCTGATCAAGCAAGATTCATTTGATGCTCTTTAAACACATAGGCGTATGTCTATCTACAGACTACTATATTATAATTAACAATAAGTTCTTTTCCATTTGACCAAGTTTACTGATATTAGCATATCCATACGATTACTTTCCTCTGATTTGGATAAACGCGCATGGTATTTATGTTGAAATGGCTATAATATTGAACATTTCAAACTCAATAACCAAAGTGGTAAATGTCTGAGACCTGCATCACTTCTTGCTTTCCTCCCTCATTAATCTGACACACTGTGAAATAATTGGAACACTTTTCAAAGCGGTCATTAAACCTCGTTACAACCGTAGTTTACTGTACATAGCATGTTGACATATGTCCAGTGAGGATATTCTTGAAAAAGGAAAACTGCTGCTCTAGACCTTCGATGAACTGTCTACAAAACTGACCTCATATCTCTTTGAGCCTAAAGTAGATGCTAAACAAGGATCCATAACCGAATCGAAGATCTTCAAATGTCTCTTTAATTTCCATCTTTGGACGAAAACCTTATACCAGTACTTTACTCATCCCTTTATACAATGTACATGACTATGCTCGTCCATACCTTGAAGGGGTGCACGTCATACTCGTCTTTCTCCCAATGGTTGACAAGGAAGGAATCAAGTACAGCGCAGTGACGGCTGTGGATCCTATTCCACATGGTCTTCAGGACATGCATGTATGCATTCATCACCTGCAATGGAGGTTAAACTACGGTTATAACGAACACGCTTATAACGAACTGACGGATATAACGAACTTTTTTTGGTCCCGACTATTTGCTGTAGTTATGCTGTATAATGCTTATAACGAACTACAGTTATAACGAACTAAAATTAGCAGTCCCTTTGAGTTCGTTATAACCGTAGTTTACTGTATACAAAACCCCTTCGTCACGTGTTACAACCAGCAATTTAGAAAAACATTATGGCAACATATATCCTGTCTGAACTGCTCAAATAACGATTAAGCGAGTTAATGTTACTTGGTCTATGAGCAATTTTAACTATTGGAACAAATGTTTTTATCATCTATCAATATTGTACAATTTTCATCTTTAATAATGTTATTCCTGATATCATTATTTGACATTTGACCGACCACGACCGAGAAGGAAGATGGTCCTGGTCGATTTTTACACCTTTGATTTGTCCAAGTAATGTTAAACTTTTAGAAAGGATTAAAATTATATAATACATAAAGAGCAAAATATAAGCTACGAAATCGTAAAAATTACCTCATCGCCAAGCCATGCTGTTTGATCGAGGAGATGATTCCTCTGTATGTTGTGGGGCCCCACCTTGCACATCTGAGGATCCGTCCCATCGTCGTCATCTGTCACGGCTTTGTCACCCATCACATGCGGTGGATACATATAGAGGGTGTCAACAAACTCTGTGATGTCCGTCTTCATGTGATATGCACCTACTATGACAGCAGATACCAGTCTGTCATACGTCTCCTTGCACTGGTCTTCGCCGAGAACATCCGGGTTAAGTCGTGACCACTTCAACCTGCCACTGACTTCTGTGAGGTCATTTCTCCATTTACAGTCGATGTCAGCGATTAATGATAAACATGGACTGTCAAAGGTAGGAAATCTGGTGCTTTTCTCCCAGTATTTTGTCTGGTTCAACACACGTCTTGCGATAAAGATATGAGTACGTTTGTTCAGCAAATATTCGGTGAGTGACCTGAAGTTGGTCGGTCTTTCATCATGTTGATGACTAACACTTTCGGTGGTTATGATGTCTATCAAATTGTTTTCAATTACTCGTTCGTTTTCTGAACGTTTAGGAGTTTTCACACGATTTACCATATCAGGGTCATGTGTCCTTTTCCTTGAGCTAACTTCATCTAAGGAGGCCAGGAAAGTAGGAGAGTTAGTATTTGCACGATCATGATCACATTCCATATCCCTGGTCTCCGAATCTCCACCATCTTCATCTCCAGAACCAGCTATTCTCGCGTAACTGTTCACTATCTGGGATTCATGGTGGAGGGATGTATCCAAACGCTTCTCATATTTTGGATCGGATAATGCTACTGTGCATTTCCCAATGTAGTGTACTAATATATATTTCACGTCTCCCTCGAGCAAGTTGTATGCCTGTCGTTTAAAAGCCTCGGTGGTGGTGCCATCACTTTTATAAGCCACGAAGTCCTGCTTGAGAACCTTGGGTGCAGGTTTAGGCTGTTCACGAGAACCATTGTGCTTGAAGTAGCAGTTGTCATTTTCCCAGGAATCTGTAGAGCAATAATAACTTAACTTAATGATTAAAAGACGTCATTTCGGTCGGTTAGGTGTTAGTTTCGGTTATTTATTTGGGATATATATTTGGGTTATATATTTGGGATCTGCTGCAATAAAAATAATTCATATAATATACATACAGATTCGATCATGTTTTCCCCCTAAAATTCGCGTTAGTTGATTCAATGTTTCCTGGTTTATAGTTGGTATCTGCTGCAATGAACATAATTTAATATAAACACAGAATCAAGCCTACATCCATGTCCACCATCAACAGAATTATCAATAACGAAATATTATTAAGGACACAATGGGAAGGATATAGACAGTGTCTACTAATGACGAATCTGGATGTAACGTTGTTCACGGCAAACAGTCTCAATCCAAATTTAAACGGTTCTAAGTCGACAAAAATTGTGAGTTTACATTTAAATTCAAGGTGGCTTTCTTCAGACCAAAGATGACAAGAACACGTTCTAATTGATGAATAAATTGAAACTTGTAAATATGAGACAATGTAACAAATATCACAAAATGTTAAATAATGTTGCCACAATATTATGTACAAGGGATTTACAGTACAACTGCTACCTGATCAGTACCGCACATGCAATCAAACTTTCTTAGTGAATATTTACATAGCTTTCGGCCCAAAAAATCAACACATTGACAATCAACTTCCTCGTATGTTCTTTTAGTGCAATTCTTGACTTGTTTTGTTTTTCTGCATCAAAAGTAGCGTCGCGAAAGAGAAACTGCCAATGCTATTCAGCGTACAATGTTTTCATTATCACTGCGTAGCTACGTGCATTGATCTGCAACCTGAATCAATACAAAGAGCTTGGTAGTGCGTTGCATGGCCTCAGATCGGGGTGCTATTTACGAGTTGCAGTCGGGAACGTTTTTTTCATTACAGGTAACACGAGTACGTATATTCCCTTGCAAGATCCGGCTCATGGCCACGAAGCGCGATCGATGAGCTGTCATTCCCTATGTACGTGTTGACTGTGTCAATAGCGGGTTATATTTAAACCTTACGTGTGTGTAAATTTAACTGATATCACGATCGCGATCACAGCATTCTAGTATGTGAACGTTTAGTCAACTATATTTGTATTTTTCATTGGGATCAGTGAGTCTAGTAGGTCATCTCTACATTGTGAAGGCTAAAGCATGAGTAAAGTAACATTTGGTAAAGTGGAGTGGTGGCGTAAAATGGCGTAGGTCTTCATAGGTCATCGACGTTTACAAGCCTAGAATCACAAAAAGGACAAATCTGAGATTCGAACCCACGACTATTTTAGAAACAATGACTACTCTCCTTCCAATTGCCGCTCCGGGTTTTTTTGTTTTTTGGTTGCTTGTTTTTTGTTTAACGCCGCACCAAGTAATAGACCAGCTGTATGACGGCGGTCTGTAAATAATCGAGTCTTGACCAGACAATCCGGTGATTGATATCATGAGCATCGATACACGCAATTGGGATCGACGACATGCATCAACCAAGTTAGTGAGCCTGACCACCCGATCCCGTTAGTCGCCTCTTACTACAAGTGTTGTCGCCTTTTACGGCAAACAGGGGTTGCTGAAGACCTATAAATTCTTCTCCGGATCTTCACTGGTCTGTGGCTCCTTTGACTATTTGACACCTGCTACTTGCTCCCAATACCCATCCATACGACCCCATCACACCACAACCCACAACATGTCACATTACAATAAATAATACAAATAATAACATTTAGTGTTTCATTAATACCTATTTCATTATTAATCCTCCCTTTATTAATACTCATCAGATTATGCATTTTTATTTATGTTTAAACTTCAAGACATGCACTCTTTAACCTACCTTCCGCCGAGTCTGCCTCCACCCTGTACAAGTACCCGTCTCCTCCATGGGGTTTAGCAGGGGGTGTTACTATAGCCCGTGTGTCATCAGGGTTCTCCAGTATCTCCAACACTTCAGTGAGCTTCAGTGCCTTGTTCTTCCTCGTGAAGTACGGAGCTGCCACCGCTCTGTCCTCCCTATCCATAGCTCTGTCTACTCAATGTCTGCTGTATGACTATGTCCGCGCATCCTTTTGTACAACGCATAAGGAAAGAGAAACTAGGACTGTAGTGACGTGGCACTTGATATACGACATGACGATTGGCTGCCTGTAATACGGGTACAATCAATGAATACCGCTCTGCTGTAACGCCCTGTTCACAGTATACATTATACACATCCATGTCATCATATCCCAAAGCAGAACGGTTTGAATAAACAAGGAAACATTTGACGTCAGGCAACGGACTATAGCTTCAGATTCATGAACCCCTGTAATACAGATAGACATGTTTATGTAAAACGTTTAATTATTTTCATGGATTTAATGCCTATGATATCCGGAACAAACCCGGAACAAACCCGGAATACAATTTACAGTTCGCTTATGAATACTTCCTTATTTTCATGGTTATGTGTAAGTTATTGATAATTATTGACTATTGAAGTATGTCTTTGCATGTGAGTATTTTGTTTGTATGAGCAGTTCAAATGGAGGAAATTAGTCACAGGCACTGTGGTAAAAAGGCAAAATAAAGTGCAACTCGTTTTGATTTTTATACAATAGGATATTTTCTAACCAAAACAAAATAGATTTATATGTTTACTTTTTTTAAAGATGTTAACAAAATCCTTCGACAACAGGTGATGTTTGCAAATATTGCAAAAAAAGAAGCATAGGAAGATAGATATCACCAACAAATGTATTATATGAAGAAATAATATATCATAGCCTTAAATGTGACAATCTAGTTATATCCAATATATTATAAAATGTAGTTTATTATGCTTTATGATGGCGTGGACAATGATGAAATTGCAGTTGAAAAATATACATGTCAAATTTATAACAGCTTACAGCTGCGTAACTGAAATGATTTTTGTTGTTGTTGATTAATTATGCAGGTCTTAAATTTCAACATTTCAGGACAGGATGATATGTGTGATAGTACTTACTCATATTAAGTACCAAAGACAGGTATTGGCTCGAGAAAAGCTTAATCTACAGCCGATCATTAAGATAAGCAACTAAACAAGTAACTGAATTGATTGCACATGTGACAGGAACCGTACTAATGATTCATGCAAACATGAAATCGCGTAGTAGACAATTTAATGAAACACAATTACATTCAATATCAAACGCTTTTTTATACCATCACTACACATGCAATTCACTCCCCTCACCTCAAATCAAAGATCATACACTTGTATCCGGGATCCGAAATCCGCTATTTCCCGTCCAAAGCGATATTCACCTTCGAAGGGGAATCCCCTTCTAACCGCTATAAGTAGTACGCTAGTGCACAGTCTGTGTCATTCCAGATTTCCAGCTTTATAAATGATGAACAGTTTCCATATCAGGAGTAGATACAGTAATAGTGTATACATTTAAAATGGGAAATACTCTTCGATGTTGGCCTGAATGTCGGTATCAGGTAGGTCTAAGACATTCTTAAATAACCATTGCTTCCTTTACCTGTTAATGTTTTGAGGTTCAGCATAATATTTACATAACCAAAGCTGTATGAGTTCAATTCCACTATGGCAACATTTAAATTGGGTGTGGTGCTCGTGTGCATATTAGTAATAACTTCAGGCATACCTCCCTCACCAGGTTGACACGTATTGATAAAGGCTTAATTTAAGTGCGTGAATTGTTTTAACACCTCTTTGGACAGTAATCCAGTTATATCACGGAGTGTCGACTTAGTGTGGGAGGAAATCCCGAAGTGATCCAGGTCTCAAACGCTTACCCAGAGCACGGATATGGCGCTGACAAAACCTAGAAACATTTAGGCACCAATGGACGCAAGTCTGCACAGCAAATTGCGGCACCTCAGACGACTGGGCCCCACGTCTTGATATGAATGTAATACCGTTAACCAATACACACTCACTACTATAACATGAACCCTTTTAACCCTACTCACTTGTAGTGAACAATTTATATGTCAATTATTTTGTACATATTTATTCCATATTTACAGTTAGAATACTGTAAACATTTCCATTACAGCGACTAGACACTGAACCGGTTAACCACAATCAAGAGAGAGACAGACAAGGTTCGACTTGTTTGATGAAACACTGCGTTGGTAATATTACATTTCATGCAAGCTACACTGTAGCCGTTCCGAAAGATACTCAGAATGAGGTTACTGCTCATGTAGCATTTTTCAAATCATTTGATCATGCAAGATTCCATTTAATGTTAATCACATATTAATAAAAACATGTTTTCCTAGGTTCATCACACCACAACTTGCCATACGTGGGATTCGTGTTTTTTACACAGAAATCATGATTTCTTCCCACAAAGAATTTTAATGTCTCATAAATAAAGATTGTTTTCGTGTAAATATTTGTGTATGACTTGCTGATCTTTACACATATTGTATGTATTTGTATTTTCCCCAACAAATAAAGTTTGTTTACGAGTAAATATGTGTTCATGTCCTGTTAAAAGATACACAATATGTAGAACAGTTTAAATTAGGTAGAAATTAATAATAGTATGGTATCTAATTGTTTTGACACGGTTAAGCTGGTCCCTGAGGGGATATGTTTACGTGATGCAGACGGGATCCACAATCCAGAATTTGACAACCCATACAATCCATATTTTCTATGTATGTCATAGATAACTACTGTGCTTGTGTCTATGCAGCATAAGTCATTATACTTAATCATACCACACATCATTGCTTCAATAAATGGGAGTTATATGTCTTTAACACAGTGTTGAAAGGTCATACTTGCAGTGGGGACACGTTGAGTAATAATCGATGTGGCTGTCCAAAGTGAAATCGATCCATGTCATGAATATTCGCCAATGCAGAGCGAGTTTGAATTAAACGTAAGCATTTGATGTTAGGCAAGAATAGTTTCCTGAATACCCATCAACGTGACTCCTATACCTACTAAGTAGGAAATCGGAAAATCCGAAATCCGCTATGTCTTGCCCGAATATTGTTTGTATCACATATTTCCTCTACCCTATCGTCTGGGGATCCATGGTCTGTAAAGTACAAATTATACATTTCATTTCTGTTCACAAACCACATGAATCATGTTCATCAATGTTAAAAGGAAAATGTTTTTAACACGGTATTGTTTGTGTCCAGGGTATATTCTTAATTACTGTTGAAAAAAGGGTATCTCTATATGTGCTCATAATTAATCGTTGAATGTTGTTGAGTCATGTTCATGAGTCTTAACGATTTAAGCAAGTCTATCAATACAAGGTAATTGTTCCGAGCAGCAATGCGTCAACGACTAGCCCTGTCGAACACTAAAAAGGGATACAGGTCGTCAGCACTGTAGTGGCGATTTATAACAGAAAATGATTCAATCTCAGGTGTAAATGACGGAGAGATTTCCGAATTATTTTATTATTTCAGGAATGTTTGGATGGCGCTATATATATGTGTACAATTCGAAATATCCGAATGTATGTTTATGTTAATTCAACGAATAAACCTGAAAGATACGGAACTGGCCTATCACTTCAAATATCAAAGCGCAAACATAGGCTTCTTATATCTCATCAATATGAAAATAGTTAACAGCATTCCAATGAAATAAACAACTGCTACATTTTGACAGATACTCCAGTATCTCGTTTCGCAATATTGTTGTGCCCCGTGGGGATTCCGGTTTAATATTCCGGGCACCTATATTATACCCAGGGCCCAGTGAACACCAAACTTAAAAGGATCCCATTCTTTCAGATGAATTGTTTAGTTGTAACATTCCATAAACATTTGTGTGTCTTACTCAATGGGATTTGTTCACGGCGAGTGCTCTCCTTCCACCTCCAACGTCAATGAAGGACGTGAAGTGTCTTTTGTGAACTTTTGTAAAACTGTCTTGTCTTATAAATCAATTTTCTATTTGAGTAAAGTTAAATTTCTTTTGTTTGGTTGTATCTACTGTGATGGCTTTTTCTTTTGTCATTTATATGAAACATACAGTAGCAATAAACGATTGGGAATTAAGGGCTACACTTCATGTTACATATGTTTATTGATAAATCATAAATGTAAGGTTATAACATCATTTTCAGACACCAGATTTAATAACACATGCCCAATGCACAATCGGCGTTAAATGGATATGAAAAGAAAAGTATACTTTGTTTTGTTGTAAAACGCCACAGGCAGCTACATCCCATCTATGTTTCGGTGGTCTGTACACAATCGACTCTTGGGGGCAATTTTAACCTGCACACCATGGGGGCGTGCAGACACAATGTCTGTGGTAGATGTCCCATGTGTGCAAGTGTCTGTTATAGAAATGAAGTTGAAATCCTGATCTCACAACAGATGATATGGAAGGCCATACAGTCCAAATAGCATTACCTTGGGGGGATCTGCTCACAGATCCCCAACATCCATCAAGTAATTATCATAGGATGTCCAAGAGTGATGACATATGTCAAAATCACAACCTGCGGACTGTCAGATGCGCAGGAGTACCATGCTGTTCCAAGACAAGATCATATTTAGAGAAATATGATAAGCACTGATGTTGATTCCAATGACAACATGTCCAATTCTCATCTGCACAGACATATCCTGATCTTCCATGACACCATGAATGATACCTACGTAGTTTGGCCTGGTCCGTGGATCTGAAATGATAAATGACAGTGCAGACTGTACTGCAATAAGAATACATCCCATTGACGTCACAGTATATGTTAATATTAAAGTTGTTGCCCCCTTTTGTGCTTAGGTAAATGATACAGTTAAATGATACACACTGTGTATTAAGACTTTGGGTACCTCAACATGTTCCCGAAACCGCATCAACTACTTACTGAACATATAGGGTCGTGAACTACCGTCACCTGGCAATTGCAATTAGTACGGATAATTGGAGTGGAAATACCTGCCAGGGTGGAGTGTATTTTCGGATTGTGCATGACACAAATACAATGCATCCATACGAATACACTGTCATTGACAATACGGTTAGTTCCATGACTGAAAAGGTTTGATGATTGAACTACATGTTGTTTATACATTATCTAATCTGTAGTCGCACTTGTG